CCTTCTATTCTGTAGATGATTTCATCTCTGCTGAAAATGTTTAAGCTTTATATCCATAATCTACGTGTATGTAAAGCAAGTTTTGTATTTATATTTAAAATTCTGAGGTTTATGTATATTAATTTGTAAAATTATTTTTCATACTTGTATTGCAGAATCTGAAATTTATGTACATTGATATGTGAAATACGTTCTTGTACTTGTGTTGAAAGTTCTGAAGTGTATGTATATTGTATGAAATGACATGTTCTACATCCTTTGGTTGAGTCCTAAGAAGGATCTATGGAATGTAAATAAACTCTACTCTACTCATGTTCCACATCCTTGGCTTGAGCCTATGAAAATTTATGTAATGGCTTATCCCTAGTAAAATGGTTTGAAACCATGTTACAACAGATTATTGCATTAACTAATGTTATGTTGGCACAGAAATCTTATATCCATACAGTAGCATAACTGCGTAATAAACACTTCAACTAAAACAAACAAATTAACTTCAATGTGTTGACTCAACCATCTGATCTTCTTTCTGCATCATGCATTCTCTGCTGGCCTGTAACTATAGCAGATTCTCTCTTGAGAGGCTAACTCTCAACTAGTCAAGAAATTCCCAACTTTTAATGGAACCCAAAGGTTCATCACCATGTTCAGAAGTGCCTGCTGCTGATCCGTTCTAAACAAAATTAATCCAGTTCACACCCATACAATCCATTTTAACATCCTTCAATCAATGCCTAGAACTAAATGCCCCATCCATCACATACTCTTTGATCTGACCACCATAATAATAAATGGTGAGGAGTACAAATTATGAAGCTCCTTAATGCACACTTTTCTCCATCCTGTTTGCTTTATTGGTCAGTTATGCTGATATTCTAAACATACGACTGAACCCACGTTTTTTAAGGTAATGTTAGAGATGTAAAGTAGAAACTGCAATCAGTTATAGTGGTAAAAAGCAATGAATCAGTTCTGAGAAAAGACATTGCTGTATTTCATTCTTTAAAATCTGACACAAAAGTCATACCAAAAACTGTTACATAACTTTACTAATCCTCTGGCTTCTCTGGTGGTGGACCACATGGTTGCAGCATTTTCTCCATCAAATTAAATCTTACTCTTGCTTTTGCTTCATTTTCACTTATGGCAAAAAAGTTTAGTAGATCAAAGTGACCCATATAAGAAGCAAATGAGTCACGGTGTTGATTTACAAGCCATTCAAATTTTGTTGTATCTGCATGACCTGTTCCAATATACTTTGACTGGAGGTGTTCTAGTTGACTGTGGATGTTGTACCGATCACCCATAACTGAAAAATAAATTATACAAACTGCACTGTCATATCCTGAGAACATGTCCAGACTTGTTCCACACTCCATTATGATGCAATGACTAAAACAGGAGGTTGGCGACATATTACGAACAGGATCCTTCCATCCTTTTCTCGGACTGGGACCTGTTCATATATTTTTTAGGCAGGTGATACAAAAATGGTTTGCCATTGCCTTCTGTGTGTATGGAGGTTCTATGGAATGTAAATAAATTGAATTCTATTCTCTTTACACATGCACTTCTATTGCTAAAGTACACAACAGAATGTGAATCCCCAACACACCACCTCATGTGCCCATAACTATTAAGACAGAACTTCAAGGAAAAGTTAGGGAGTTCACATATGAATTTATAAGAATTCCTTCCGCACTGTGCACTTTGGATATTAAAGCAAAACTAAAAAAAAGTTTGCATTTACTTATAATAAAACTGAATCTATCAGATCCGTTCCATTGATGCTCGTGTTCAGGATGTGGAAAAAGTAAAGTTACAATACCTTAAAATTAGAAAATACAACAGATCTAACAGCACATCCCAAAAAACAAGATATACCATACAAACCTCAAATTCACCTGTGTGATATACAAAGAACACGGAACCTCGATTACTTCCAACTCGCACACTAATGAGAACAAATATTACCAATTTGCTTTAGGATTCAGATTACAAAACACAGCTAATGTCTATAACATTATACAGCTAACAAGCCTTCTCATTCACATACGCATCCACAAAACGAATGAATTACTTTATTCATGTGGTATCTTTGTGCAGATATTAATACATTCAATGAGCTGATGTGTTTCAATACACTGCCATCTAACACTAAATATTACTACAATTCACCAAATTACACCAACTTAGGAACATGTTTGTACTTCATATGCTAATATATAATTCTATTTACACATAACCATTTACAATGTTAAGGAATTATTTACATGCTATTAGTACCTGGTTAATTGTAAAATAATAACAGCAAGTCCACTTTGCTACGTTACCAATTTCTCAAAATATTGCATTATTTGGTTGCAATGTGCAGTATTGGTCACAGTGGAAGGTCGACCTCAAAGCTGTAATATAGGTGTCGGTGGAAGGGCATGGTAATTGCTGAGCTTGAGATTAAGTTTTGGCGTTCATAAGACATGGTTTCCATTTGTAAAAGAATTGCACTTCATTCTTCTCGAAGAAACACAGTATATCTTTGTGTTAGACTTGCTAATACATGTAAGTCATGATTTACAGATGCTGTTTCTGGAATATAATTTGTGGGAGGAAAGTTGTTCGATGGCGTCGTATACTGTTAATATGGAGATGTTTGTTGTGGCTTGTTGCAGGCAAATTGATCAAAACAAATATTAAAATTCGATTTGCAGAGCCCAAATCGTGCACAGTTTTATCACTTTCGGTTGTCCGAAAATTGTATTTACCCATTATGGTTTTGACGGCTGTTTTTGTAAAATGTGTTGTGTAGAAATGCACCTTCTGAAGATAATCCGACGAATGAAGTAGAAACCCTTAGAATACAGTATATGGGGAGCCTGAATCATTCTGCATACAGTTTAATTCTAGTGACCAATATAGGTGAAAAGTTAGAATCTGCATGGCAATATTTCTTTAACTAGCTGGAAAATTATAACCTTATTTGTATCATCAGTGGCATTCAGTGTAAGTTTTGCATCTTCTCGCGAAACCCGAAGTTGTACATTTTTTGTATGATTTTTATAATGTTTTATGGACTTCCATATTTCAGGTTATTGAAAAATAAATTTTTGAGTCTTGACTGCTAAGAAATGATATTTTTACTTTATCTTACAGTTATGGACCCAAAGGAATTAGTTACTGGACTAGAAAAGCGTGAATTGCTTAATGAAGAGGCTGGAAAAGATCCTGTATGTGAGCTTTTTCTTAGGACTGTATGCTATTGTCATTTTTATTTTTTGATGTATACATTTAATGCAACATGATATTAATATTTCTTTGCAGGACCCATATGGTCTAGCTATTAAGCGAGGACCAGGTACCAAGGATAAACCTACTTTGGTTTCATCTGCATTTGACTCCAGAATTATTGGCTGCGTTTGTGATGATGAGTCCAGCCACATAAATTGGATGTGGCTTCACAAGGGTAACTCTACACGTTGTGAATGTGGCTTTTGGTTCAAACTTGTGGAGAAACCTCCTTTGTAGTTTCCTTTTACATAGCTCAGTTCTCTGTAGACTTATAATTATGTAATTTCAAAATGCTTGAAATTGATCTAAGCACTTCCAAAAGTGCTTTATAAAATGGAATTGTCTGTGTATAGTGTTTAAAATAAATAAAATGATGGTAGTTGTACATTATGGTATGAATGAAGGTTTCTGTATGTTTTATTTTATTACAATGTTGTGTCTGCTAAATTATTGCTTATAGGTGGCCTTTGGAAATGTAATTCCTATTAGTATTGCACATTAAAAACGAATATTATTTCCTGCAGAATGAAGTAACAGTTTATCATGCCTGTATGGAATATTAGAATAGTTAAATGCATTTTGGTTTAAAGGGGAAATTTGAACATAAGTTATTGCACTGTTATAGTGTGAAGCCTTAAAGTAAATGAGATGCACATATTTGTATTGGAAGTGCTATGTGTATATATATCATTTTCTCATATTAGCTTCAGCATAAAATTGAAACTATATCTTTTAATTACTAAATTTACCTTTATTACTGTGGTTACATGGTGAATTTCTAAACTACAAGACAATTTAGACAACACTGGTACCATTCATGATCAATTTGCATTGAACATATAAAATTGTTATGCTATGCATGTATTTCCTAATTTGTGGCTGCAGCACGAGAAAGAGGCAAGTGGTGAGATGTTTTGACAGTGTTTACTTCAAGGAAAGTTTTAGGGATAGAATCCTGGATTGTCCCTAGAGCCAATGTACAGATGTTGCAAGGAGAATTTCTACATCTATCCATGTACACAGCAATTTTCATAGAGTACTTAGAGTGGGGTTGCTGGTTGCCAGAACAGAACATTGTTGCAAAAGGCACAGAATAGAAAGTATTAATGCACATCAATGTGGTCACCACCACGCTTTACTCCCTAAACAGAATTGTATGCTGGCCTCATTGACTACATGAAGCCTCTTGTCATTTAATGTATCAAAAGTAGTCTCTAAATAGAAGGTATATAAAGGGCGGCAGTCCATTATACGCTATGACATGTAGTCTAGCTCACAACAGAATCGAAATAAATGACATAAAGCAGATAGATGAAGAATCACAAGCCAGCTCACTGAACCCCCTGCTGCATGGTGTGTGCCATTGAAGAAAATTTTCTCATCTGACACATAAGAAACCGGTTCCTGTCATTATCCACTATTGAGTGCATTGAGCATAGACATCTTAATCATTCACATTGTGTGTAAGCATAAGTGTAAAGGCGTATTACCCTTTCGTTATTTTATGGTCACAACAAAATCTGTGCTCTTACAGAATAGTTAGAACTAATCATTAGCTTGTACTAGCTTCAGCATTACTGCTGCCATCTACTGAGAGTACTGCATTAAGGAGATGATAGAAGGCATTTATACGAACTGACAAATGGAAACGGAAAAACATGGTCGTAAGATTGGTAGTGAAAGACGTCACAGGATCTGCAATACAAAACTCTTTCATACCTGAGGTGAGAACTCATTGGTTATCATATTAATATAAAGTTCCCTTCGGTGAAATACGGAAATCATTGATTGACCATGGCGGAGAGGAATGACATGTACTTTTGCACGCCACCACATTATACATTTGACAATCATTGGCACTACTCTCGCTATGTAGGTGTGTGGTATTCTTTCTTCTTGTATTAGGGCAAGGTACATGTTGTTTTGTTGTGTATACTGTTTGTTTGATGCTGAATTGAGGAATGTTTATGTGTAATAACGACGTTATTTGTTGTTTAAAATATACACCAATCTTTGTACATATTAATGCAAAATAATATAAATCTGTTTGAAATCACGTAACGTGGATGGATATAGATACATACAGAACATGTATGGCTAGCTGTAACATCCCTTCCTTTACACTAACGTTTTTTCGTTTAGTGTTGAAGAACTGGAGTAGTGTATCTTGTGACGTTTGTTGTGTTTTATGAGGGATTTATAATATTACTGTAAATACCGAATGGTTTCCGTTACATATACCTTTGTAAAAAATGGATTTGTTGACTCACCGGTTAACATTAGTAGTTATTTTATTACACTGTAATTTTCCTTCGGTTTGTAGATGTTCCAGATGTCGAACACAAAGATAGTGAAAAGTGGAGGCGGAGAGCCTGACCAATTTGAAATCCAAATTTCGCAGGCGTTGGTTGAGCTTGAAGTGAATAGTGACCTGAAGACACAGTTAAGAGGACTATACATTACAAAAGCCAAGGAAATTGAACTTAATGGAAAAAAGGTAATGTAGCTGTTATTTCAGTCACAAAACTTTTGACAGATACCAAATTTTCTGCATGTTGTTTTACTGTTTGAAGTGTTATGGGTTGTATTTCAGTCAATCATCATCTACGTACCAATTCCACAACTGAAGTCATTTCAGAAAATACAGACGCGTCTGGTACGTGAGTTGGAGAAGAAGTTCTGTGGTAGACATGTTGTGTTTATTGGCGAGAGGAAGATTTTACCGAAACCTACCCGCAAGACACGGACAAAAAATAAACAGAAACGACCAAGAAGGTAAGATGTTTGGTATATTTCCTTTAACTGATATTTGGTATATCTTTATATAAAATTTGAAGCTTTCACGGTGGTTGAATGTAATGAAGTCTTGGGCATTCAGCCTTGTGAGAATGGTATTGTAATCCAGTGTTTCAAAGACTGACTGCCTTCTTCATCACACCCATTGTTCAGGTCACTTATATATTGGCTTGCTTTCTTCAAGCTGTTTGATTTGAGGGTCAGTTGTACCTCTGAGTTCCTACAAAGCACCCTCATGATTTCAGATAGCTTATCCTATGACATTCTTGAAAATGGCTACCTTTTCATCATTGTTTTCCTGTAGGTCCTTCGGCCATTACATTGGCCAGGTTGGAGTTTTCCTTTGCTTCAGTTCATCTTTGTGTCCTATTTGCTGTATGCCCATGTACTAACTTGGCCTCAAAATTTTTAATATTCCTTGCACATATTTCATTATAATGATTAATTCTATTCCAATATTCACTTGTATTAAACTATTATGTATTTATAATTATTATATATAAGGACTAACAACTCTATACAGATCATGTTTTATATCATTTAAAAAAATGCTGTGGGTGGTGATGCCTCTCCACCACACCTCTTGTCTACACTTACCAGTTAATTCATACCTTTGAACCAAATGGCTAATTGCAGATCTCGCTGATGCTTGTTGAATTTTCTACAAAATTGTCATGAAACTAGTGTGGTAAAATATTTTAACAGTGACCAGTGTCCTCTGTGCTGTATGCCATCTTGCACAGTATGCCCTATGTGCTGAGCTGCAAACACCATACATCTCACATGCTGTGGTACCAACTTTTACTTTTCCCACTAGTCATTTTGTTGTGGTCCATGTTTCAAACTGTTGCATTTTTTATGCATTACACAATATAATACATACTAATGTAAATGGAGTGGATATTGAAAACATCATAAAATAAGGCCATAAGGAGGGGGGGCAATTTTTTTTAGAGATTAGTGTTTATGCTCGGCAGATTTAATTTTATTTGAATTATTTGGTTTCAGCCGTACCCTGACAGCCGTTT